AGACTGTTTTAACTTACCATGGCCAAAGACAGTACCACCACTATGAGGCAGCTTTCTAGGCTACTCTTCCCAGCTTGTTCAATGGAGGAGGCAGTGTTCAAATACTGGATGAACACCTTTGCATAGTCCAGCTAGATTTCAGTAAAAATATTTCTTAATATTCCTATATCATATTTCAAAGTATATTAATATTATTAGAAAGAATAGATGAATTTCATGTAAAAATGCTGATTAGGATGTAAATTAAGAAAACAAATATATAACTAGTTCACAGAAAACAATGAATTTGTTCACAGTTTTGAAAGTCTGTTGAGTTAAGTTTGGAAAACATAACCTTACCAAACATTCAAATGCTTCTTGATTAGCTGATCCAGCAAACTTCAGTGCTATTGCCATGCATCCTCCAGCTACGATGTTGCAGTAGGCTTGACTGCAAAGAAACCATGAAATTAACTAGATTATCACAAAAATCCTTTTTTTTTTCAAATATTTCATTCAACTGATATTCAAAAATAGGTTAAGTAGATAATAGATCTAAAAAAATAGTCTTTTTACTCTAATAAAACAAGAAAAGAAAACATAATTTCTACACTCCCAAATGGGATAAAGTTGGAATTGTAATTAAATCTTGTACTGGAGCTTTGTTTCATCCATATCTCAAGGCCTTCTCTAGGTGAACTGAAATTCGGCTGTCACCGATGTCATGTGGTTAAAAACTACGCGGGATGTCCCCCCAGTGCCCAGTCCCACAATCAGAGTGGTTGGTATTTCAGGGACCATTTCCATACCAGATCGTATTAGCAGGATCGATCTATCTCCAAGGGGTTTCTCACTAAATTGCATTTAGTTTAAGGGTGCAGGAAAGCTAATTACCCCCCTAGCAGCTTCAGTGGGCATGACAGACATTTAAGCTGCTCAAACTGAATGCAATTTAGTGAGAATCCTCTCGGAGTTAGATCGATCCTGCTAGTACAATAGGTTTATGGGAACCCAGTCTAGGACTGCCATGCATGTCAAGGGTGGGCATTCAATCCTCTCATGAATGACCCTTTCACTCCTCATTTGAACCAGTCCTCCTCCTTGTCGAGGATCAAGGAGTCTCTTGTTTTAAACATCAGTGGCAGTGATGTTCATTTTTAACTTCAGCTCGAGCATGAGATTTAATTACAGCATTCCATCTTTATCTAAGTTTAAAACAAATGGACGAATAAAATTTTCCAATCTGATTCCCATCTGGATAAACAATCATAGCTTGTTTTTTAAATGACTAAATGTTAGAATATGACAAAATAGTATTGGATAATATGAAAAATTTATCTATCATTTGTAATAAATACCTCATAGTTTCAAAGTCAGTATCACAGGTTGGATCATTTTGGTATTTATCCCTGTTGAATGCATACATTTTTATTACCTGTAAAAACATTAGATTCACCATGTAAACTCACATTACATATTGTCAATCTTATTTCATTTTCATTCTTAAGATTAGAAAACCAAAACCACAGACAAAACCAAATGACGTGACAACAGCAAATTGAAAACATATCAAGTTGAGTGGAAGAGGCATCTTTATACCACACCTTTCACCCAATAGAGGTCCAGTTTCACCAACACTGATAACACATTGGTTTTTCTGGCATGTTTAATATAAGCTCTTTAGCAGAAACAGGCTTACATTTTCTCTCTCACACAGACACACAAAGAAAAAAAAAGACCTTCACTCAATGCTGTGGTCAACCAAGAAATGGATGCCTTGGTTGGAAAGACTTATCCATAATGAATTTTTTTTTAAACATTATAACCACAATGTATTTTTGGAACATTGTTGCTATACCTGTGGAATATTTTGTTCAATCCATAATTTGGAAGGCAATACTGAATCCCACAAAACAAGTCCCTGACTGATAACCTATAAAAAATGAAGAAAAAAAAAGTCACTGAAATAAAATATAACATATATTTCTGTTTTGTTATGAATATCATCATTTACAGACCTGACTGACGTGGCAGTGGTGCTAAAGAACCTGGCTTTAAAGGATTTGGCGCAATTAGAAAGATTCACCAGGTGTTTGTGTTCAGCAGCTTGGGGTTTATGTTCTTCAAAGAGTTGATGAAGGATATTTTTTATGAGATGCTGCAATAACTAAACATTTACGTCACTACCAAAGCATTCTTAAAATCAAGAAAAATAATGAATCAAAATTCTGAATATTGTAATCCATGCAGGTTTTTTAGCATCAAGATTTCACATTTTGCATTATCAAGCAAAATCAAGATTGTAGCTGTCAATTTTTGTTTTCTTAATGTTGCTGGGCCCAAAATGCTTCATCTAAGGTACTATGATCATGTGAACTCTCTATTCAAAACAACCGTGAATACAACAACCTGTGTCATTTAAGCATGTATAATTCAGGCACAGCATGCATCTCTTACTTACTCTAAGCATGAGGAAATCTGGCCTAACAAAATCCAATAGAAACTGTGTGTCAGGTGCCATCAACCACTGGGCAACAGCGCTGGCAAATGAGAATAGGAAATGAGAGATATTTTCAGTCATTTTTTTTACCTTTAACTGTACATCAAGTACCATCAAAACACAACTACAAGATCTGAGAGACTTTTAATCATTCCAGAAGTACCACCAGCTGGGTTTTACACACAATTGGGATTAATACCCACAGAGACATACTTGCTCCAACAAAGCTTCCAGGTATTGTTTGTGACCCAGAAATATGCTGTATAGCAACAAAAAAAGTGGGTTTATAGAACCTGGTCAAAGTCTGCCAATCACAGACCAATTATATTTGGGTTGATAACTGCAGGGTCTCTAATAGTGCCAAAACTTAAAACAAGTTTTTGTATTTGCTGATGATATAACTAAATTTACACTGAATGTGAGAATAAAACAGTGTTCAAAGTACACACAATGGACAATGGAAGTGTCACCCCCCTGAATCAGAGTAATCAAATAATAATCAAGTAATCAATAATCAAAGTAGGTAGATCTTGAGTAGTTATAATGCCTGGTCTTTTTTTTTTCTTTTTGTGAAATTTGATGTTAATAAAATGATACCAGGAGCATATCATTCCACAGTCATTTATCGCCCCAAAAATATTGGTTCAGTAGGGGTGACACTTCTATTGTTCACTGTGCGTAGGTATCATAACAATTACAAGAAGCTGGATTAACTCATCTTTTTTTTTTTTAAATCATCAGCATATCAAAATAAAAACTCGCTGTTAATAGCCATCTTTAAAAGAAAAAGCACACCAAAATGGTTAAATAACCAACTTACCTGTTATTGCTCTTGAAGAACATCATCCCTAGGGCCAGGGTAGCACCTGGGGAGGTCACATTGACATTGACTGCATCCCCTTCCTGAAAGATACCCCATTAGTATTATATCTGGGTTAATTGGGACAAATCAAGGTCAAGGCAGGTCAAGAAAGGTCAAGGTTACTGTGGAGCAGCAGCAGCAGCAGTAGTATGTAATTGAATTTCAGAATGTTTATGTCACTTACTTTAATTTGGTAACTTGGAGATTTGTATCGTTCTTTATTTAGGCCTGTCTGAAAAAGAGATGACAATGCTGAAAATTGTATATTTCTTTGATAAATATAAAGAAAAACAGCAAACTGAATCTTCTTTAAAACAATTCATTAATTTTTTCAAAACGTTTTTCCTTTCAAAATGCACTATTTCAAGCAGCACATAAAAGAGTACATGTAAAGAACTGTCATACCATGGGCCTTTTATGTCCTCCAACCATGAAGTGATAGAGCTGGTCAGCCATGTTTAGGTCAGACAATCCCAAGGTCTCACTGCCTCTCTGATGAAAATAAAGGAAATTGAAATAGTCATTCAGGCTAGGAGGAAAGGGTATCCATACAGCTAAAAAAAAATGGTAAATGTCTTTCAAAAACTTATGTTGGAATCTGCTCTGGCATAACATCACTGACAATGAGTACATGTATTATAAAATGTTCTTTTTTTGCCTCAAGAAAACGGATTTATGCCACCATTTTTTTTCTTACCCCTAACATGACCATCCCTAAAGCAAGTCCAGCTGCTAGGGAGTAAGACTCACGGTCAGTAGCATTGTCCATTTCGGGCCCTGGAGGACGGCCTGTAATTAAGATGATTTCAATTTGTTCAAGATAACTACAAATACTCAAAACTAAGTCTTAAAGATGGTAATTTAGCACACTGATGCTAATAAAAATTGGAACTTTAAATATTTCTATATAATGGTTTTGCTGTAAACCAGTCATTAAATTTTACCAAAATGCCCAATTAAAACAATTAAAAATTAACAGAGAGTATGAGCATCGTCTCCCAGTCTATTACCTATCTCAGCCAGCAGTACCACAGCCACCCTATAATGGTTTATCTGTAAACCAGTTGTTGAGTTTTACTAACATGCCAAATTTTTAAAAAAATTATTTAACAGAGAGTATGAGTATCGTCTCCCAGTCTGTTACCTATCTCAGCCAGCAGCACCTCAGCCACGTGCCTGTGTGCCGTACCCTGATAGACCAGACCCATGCCCAAGATGGCCGACACTTGCACCACGTGGGGAACATCCAGCTCTGTGGAGGTAGGTGGCAACATGGCTGCTATGTGGATACTGAGAAGACGAACAGTCGCATGGTCCATTGTGCCTCTCCTGAAACATAAGGAGAAGAGTGAAGTAAAAAAAAAGGTAGCACGATCAGTCATACCACTGTTATAAATTTGCTTTAAAAAAGTTACATTATTACTGTTTGCCATGGTTTAACATAAATATAATTCTTAAAAGTATATAATAAACTGCATGGGGACAAGGTTTGATATGACTATATGATATCAAACAATTTAGACTTTTTACAAACAAGATGAAGAGCAGCAATACATGATCAGAGTAAAATTAATGGCTAAAAAACCCAAAAATATAATAAAAATAAAAATAAAAATGTGCTAACACCATATATACATTCAAACTAGAGTACACTTCTACTTACTTTGCCGCAGCAATTCCCAGCAACAATCCAACACCTGTCATATCATGTCCCTACGGAAATGAAAAAAAAAAAAAGTTGACATTTCACTCAAATATTTTCCCAAAAATTTATACATTAGCAATCCAAAATTCACATTTTTTGGCTGGGATTACTAGCACTGAACCTGCACAATTTGACTTGATTTAACATCGCTGAAACAAAGTGTTTACGGAACTGGTGACTAAACAACATACCCTGCATAAATAGTCATGGACATTCATGGTTGCCAGATTGGAGAGATGACCATTCAAACCCAGGGCCATTAAGAAGCCTGCATGTTCATTGGTCAACTCATTACTTTTTGGTTTGTTATAGATGATCCATGTAGAATCAACCTAAAAAAGGAGTAACCTTAGCTATAATGATGAAGATCATATCCTATGTTAATATTGTGGGCGGTTAAAAATGTCACTGCACTTCCATTTGCCATTAGCTGATATATCACAAATTTTCTTATCATATTGATGCACCTGGCAAAAAAGGATAAATTCAAATCTGTATCTGTAAAATTGTGGTATAGAGATTTCTTAATTTGATAATACTAAGTAAACACATTTAAACTGATCAAGACAGTAACCATTCTAAAAGTTAAGTAAAGTTTGGTTCTTATGTACTGCTTAACATATATATATATATATATATATATATATATATATATCAGCATTGTTTACAATACAATTTTGGTGAAATTTTACAATGGCCACCCGGCCATTTTTGGTCAAAATACAGAATAAGTGTTGACGCTCTCGCCTCCCTGGGGAGGATACTACCTGAGAGGAGTTGGCAATCTTAAGTCCTGCTGCAACTCCATTGTGGAACTGTGGCCACACATTCATGTTGGCTGGGGTCTCGATGTGACTCAGGTCTATGGTCGTGTTTCTAGAAAAATCAAAGCAAGAATTCTTTAGATGGTACCAAGTTTCTGAAGAGTACTTCACATCACAGTTAAATTGTTAATGGAACTTCAATTTTTTTCACTTATATTCTATTGTTTAAGTCACTTTCATACATAGTCTATCATTATACTGAAATCTTTTTTTTTTTTTTAAAGAGAAATAAATTAAAAGAGAAGCAAAATTTTTGGCCTTTTGTTGCCTAACAAGTTAGATATACCAAAAGAAAAAAATTTAATCAAAACATTTTTATACTTATTATACCTTGGTGGCACACGTCCAGTGAGACAAAGTTTGGGAATGGGCAGTGTTTCTGTGACAACAGGGTGATAAGTACTTAATGTAAACATACCCCTGAAATAAGAATTCACCATCGATAACATTTTTCTCAAAAAGTACAAGTTCATCATACAATTATCATAAAATGTACAGATGGAAAAACAGCCAAAACCATCTAGTTTTGGTTTTATTTAGTAGCATTTTATATAGTGAACTAATTTCAAATTTCCAAAAATATATAATAGACACTTCTGGGCAATCAATTTATCTCAAAGTTCATATCAAACCTCTCTAAGCACACTATGAAAATTTAAACAAAAATTCTCAAGTTTCACTGCACTATTCACCTTCCCAATGGGAGAGCCATTGTTCTGATGCAGATAGAGTACAGATGCCTGCTCTGCTCTTCTATGAAATCATGGTCGCTAACTTCAGGCTTTTGAGTAAGCATGATTTTGACAGGTTTAGAAGATCGTAGCAACTTGCGAACTTCCTGAATTCTGTGATCTTCATTGAACCGCAGCCTGAGCAGCTAGTATGTGAAAGCAGTTAGAGATCAACTATTATAAATTAGTGTTTATAAGTTCTATTAGGATGTAATACAAGTTCACAAAGTCAAATATTAATCTGCTGAATAAGCCTACATTTTGACTAGATAATTCATATCATAAAGAATGAAAATGTGGCATGTCAGAAAAAGAAGAAAAAATTCTGCCATTAGAAATTTTGAGCACCTATTTGTTTAGATATTCATCCAATATAAGTATTCCCTATAAAAATTTGATAACATAAAAATTCATACAGAAAAACTATATTGAAAATTGGCAGTACCTCCTTGTCTAGATTATTCATCCCATCCTCATCTTCTCTGACATTTTTGGCAGAGGTCTCATGGCTGCCTGGGGGAGCTGTGTATGGAGTGTGCTCACAGTGGACTTGCTTGGCTAGATCTTCCCTTCCTAGAACAGGTCAAAGGAGTTAGAGATAGCGAGATATGTAAACTGATTTGCTAAAACATCTTTAGAATATCATATCTTGGACCATTGAGGGAGGGGGGCCTCACATGGGGACAGGCCCAACACATAGCCAGAGATAGGGCCAAGTGGAAAGAAGTGACTGTGGCCTTATGTCCCACACGGAACGAAGAGGAATGATGATGATCTTGGACCATACACAGGACTACAGCAAGTATCTAAATAATATGGTCTGAACATCAATTTAGGTACTGATTGTTTTTAAAAAATTAGCATAATGCAAAACTGAAATTATGAACATGATCAGAACATCTTAAAAATCATTTAGGAAATAGGAGAAAATGCTTCTAAATATGCTTTGGCCTTGTTTGATTTTATATAATGAAATATATATAGTGAAATTTCACCATAAAAATTCAATTAAATAAAAACTAAACACCTCTGAAATTACTACATTTTACCCTTACCTATTAACTGATAGGCCTCCTCTGGTAATGTAGAAGGTGGTGTTTCTCTACCATGGTAGATTGCTTCTCTCAAAGGCAATGCCACCCCCAGTGGCAGGTTTTCTATTGACTCAAAGGTTATTCCTAAAACAGATGGAGCATCCTCAGCATTTCTTTGGCTATATTAAACATGTAAACACTCATTTTTTTACCAGGCAATTCTCAGTAAGAGAGCCATAAACCCATATTCCCCTAAAGTAAAGGCTACTATAAATAGAAAAAGTAGCACATTTTTTAAAATTTTTATTTTTAAATTTTGACCATTTTAACCAAGTTACAAAAGCCTTACTAACCTAGTTCAGTCATCAGCTGCAAAATATTTGTAGAAATGGAGGCTTGAGATGATCCAGCAAAACTTTTGGACAGTGAGACATTAGTTGATGTTGGTCTGTGACCTAAAATGGAATCATACCATATTATAATGTACATTAATGTAGCAAAATATTTAATGCAACTGAAACCATTTTGAAACCATTTTGACTGTGGTGATTTCTAATTCCTGTCATTATTGATTTTCTGGAATAAGATATATTGATGCTTATCATTATTCTAAGTATCTTCAAATTAAGTTTCAAGAGATTTAGAGTAACATCTTGCTATTAAAGAATCAGGACAAATAATATCAAGTCACATTATTTTGAGTTTATTCATACAGCAAAAATCCTCACCTGCTGCTGCGATTTTCTTTAAATATTTCTCTTTGTCCGGTTCTTGTCCACTGTTGGTACACAAGACTGTAAATAGCTGAAAGATGGAGGTTTGATGCTCGTAATACTGCATGGATGTAGAACACAAACCTGGGTTCATGAGCCAGAAATAATCAAATATTCTGGACAAGCAAATTAGAATTCTAAAAGTCAAAATGTGTTGATGACCACCATGAAAACTTACAATGTGACTGTCAACATGATCACACTTACTATGACAATATTTCTGACTGATAATGTCACATTTTGAAGGTAAGGGAACACATCGGGTTCTGCTCCCTTCAGCACTTGGTACAGCCATCTGTAGATGCTGGGAGGGTTCACACTGAAAAATTGGGGCCTGTGCATTTTTTGAAGATTTTCTGAAAAGAAAACAATAAGACAGTTACACCAACTGATTCACATAAAAGATGGATTTTAAAACAGACTAGAGCAGTTAGTTTAAAAAAAAACACATCTTGCTACATTAGTAAACTTGCATTAATATAAAAGTGTATACTATGAAAAATGTCTGTCAAAGATAACCAACCTTTCCATATTTGTCCATTTTTAGAAGGGATAAATTTACTTTTCTTTTTGACAAAATAAATAAATAAATAAATAAAAAATACAACTTGACTCACCAGGAGAAAATTGGCTTCTTTCTTGCAACACATTAAAAAGATGTGGGAAATCTCTGCAGTAATGATCAATGTAAGCCTCACACTTTAGATCTCTGGAAACAGAAAAATTCCATTTATAAATATAGATTTATAATATCAAATTACAATTTTGGTGACTTCTTCCATTAAAAATAACACAAAATGGTATGCTTACCAACAAAATTATACAAGAACAAAATAAATTTTCACAAAAGCATTCTACATAAAGTAAAATACTGTGCAATGATAAAAACCAGCCGCTAAAACTGTACTCATTATTATTATTACCTTGAGAGCTGGTGTAGCACTGTTGCTATTGACTTCAGCTCCTCAGAAAGTAGTCTGTTGAGTTTGGCATTCTACAAAGAGTGAATAAATAATCTTATCAAAAGTACAGTGACTGCGAGTCACTTACCATGAAACAATTCAATAACCTAATTAATATACACAAATCTCATAAATGCATCCAATTATGAAAGGTATTGTGAACCAGCAAAAGACAAAAAGGGGAGATGCAGTGTTAGAATTCACCAAAACAAGGTCATATAATGAAGTACATGATATAAATCATACAATATATAATGTCATATAATACCAATAAAAAAACATTCCATGGTACACCATCATATTGCACATTGCATTGTACTTGAATATTTGTTTCCACTGCTATTGTTATTCATACCTCATATGCCAAATGTAAAGCAAACATGACTGCAGGTATGTGTGAGAAGAGCAAAGCCTGCACATCTGCTGTGCCCACTGTGTGACAGGAAAGGGATGGGGACTGTAAGGGAATTGGTTCTTCTACTCCCAGGCTGTAAATGTGGGTATTCTGACTGAGCTTGTGATGATCAGAAGACAGCAGGTATTGCCAATCCTGAAAAAAGTATCATTTCCATAAAAAATGTTGGTTAGGAATGGAATGATTCACTGAAACTGATATATATATATTTTTTTATACCAATTATTAACCGAACAGCACTTAACTCTTTTCAAGACATAGCAATCGCTTCGTTATTTTCTTTATTGTGCTCACCTCTTCAGTTCCATGGTCTGATGTTCTTGCTTTCTTTGTAGTCATCACAGGAGATGCACTGCTGTCCATATTGTACTGTTACAGAGATGAAAGGAGACAAATAGCTACTGAGGCAAATGAATTAGACAGCTTAAACATTCCTTATGCAAAGTTTTGTGATAAAATAAGACATACAATTACCAAATATCTGAAGGTAAAATATGTGAACTTACACCAGATGAATACTCATTTACATAACATGGAACATATCCTATTGCCAACATTATATCACCTTCTTTGTAAGAGCCAACTTTCCAGCATCGTATCCCATCAGATTAAACATGCACTTGACAAACTTTGTCCACTCTGATTGACTGGAGACTATACCAGCTGCATTACGGACTGCATACCACTTGACCAGCACCTGTATGCCCACATCTCGGGGCAGAACCTGGCTAACTGCTTTCAGACATAGCCTCACTGTATAAAAGTAATGGTCAACTTTCAGAAATCAGAGTAAGTGATGTATCCCATTCCTTGCTAATCATATAAGACAATATTTTAATCTGCTATCAAGTTAGTCAAATATTATTAATATTTTACAACATAAAGGAATAAAATTCCCAAAAAGTCACAACCTTAATAGGTTAAAGACTTGACTAAAACTTATACATGTTAGGGACTTACAGAGAAAGACCTATTTACCTAAAGGGGATTCAGCAAGTTCTGGTAGCCCAGTATGAAATAGCTGGCCATTAGCAAGTTCCTGTAAAAGACAATATAATTGTTAAATAACTTCTCCAACTTCATATCCAATATTTCATCAGATAACTGATAACAAGTGTTGATTTTATTACCCTTACAGCAAGATTCAGATCATATTTAACTCTACAAAATATAAATCTTACAATAGTCAACCTGTTTAAAAAACAAAATTTGCTTCACAGGAGTCTGGAAGCCTATTATTCAATAAGAAATTATTTAGTAACACCCAATTATCCACCAAAATGGCCCTCGTACCACAGTGAACTGATTCTCTACAGGATCCTTTATCCCTGCTATAATACTAGGGAACTGCCAGGAAGACAACTCTTCAGCCAAGGAACCATCTAGAAGCTGACTCGATTCATTGAACTCAGTTGGCACTGGTGATAGCAGATTTACCTTTAAATATTAAAGAAAAAAGTATGACAAGTTGATAAATATCCACTTCAATCTAACATTTTATGTGGGGCACTCATATTAAAATGAAATGCTGCAAATAATAATAAACCCTTACAGACTAATAAACAATAAATTAAACTTTTATCCATATTTTTATCCATGCATCTTTTTCATTCTCCAATCTTACACCTTACAATCACAAATTTCCATAATACCATTGGCTTCAAAATGTAAAATTCAATTTCAACTTATGTACATATCAATATATTTTTCTGTCAAGCCCCTTTAGTGTCTTTAAAAAAAGCTTTCAGTGTCTTTAAACAGTGACTTCTTCAATTAGTGTGTAATACCTCCTCTTCAAATCCTGTGTCCATGGCACTGGGAGGTCTACTGGAGGAAAAAGGTCCCTGCGCCGGGCTGTCTGGTACAGGGGGATAGGACAAGGAAGTGGAAGGCGTGGCCAAGGGAATGCCTGGAACATGGATACTGTTCACTTGTGTGGTGCCTGTATACAGCACTAGGTTACTACCAGGGTCCAGGACCACCATCATGTTTAATGTCTGAAATATTTATGGATTGTGGTTATTGTGTGGCAATTAAAATGATCCAAACACCATGTTTTCTTTAAAGGACTATTCAATATCATACTGCCGAACTCTTTACTTTAACAAGTGAACCAAAAAAAAAAAAAAATTCTGGAGTATTACAAATGTCTTTATATCACATACATAAAAATAAGTTCATTTCTATCATCAACATCATATCTTAAAGTGCAAAACCCTAAAAATTTGCAAAATGAAGACTTTTTTTTTGGAAGCCTACCTCCAATGGACCAGCATCTCTGGCAGGAATGGTCTGTGCTGTTCCAAATATCAACTGACTTCTGTCATTGCTCTCTTCAAATTTCAAACACCTGAAAGTAAAAGCAGAGTTTAACCAATGCATTACATTATTCTTTATACTTCTTTTTAACTGCTGCAGAAATATTTGTCTGTCCCACATGTCAGCCTGTCTTAAAGTACCTGTTTATTATTTCACTTTTAAGTATATTTAAATATACATTAAAGGTAAACTGGGAAGAACTTTGATAACAGATATTTTACCTAAGTTGTTTTTCTGTTGGTATTAAGTAGCACAAATACTGCTGTTCACGCAAGTCAGTGGTAATAAAGACTTTACTTGCACGGCCACTGTGCCTGCGACTAAATGATATAAACCACTATTAAAATGGAATTAATGTCATGCACTGCTAAATTTAACTCTCCACATGAGATTCAAAATTCCACAATAAATACATTTTAAACAACACAAAGAAATATAATAAATTCCATTTTATAACCAAACTGCCATTTAATGGCACTTCTCTTGCCAAAATGAAGAGTTGTTTTGATCCCTTTAAGTATATGTTTAAAAAATAAAATCATCATAATGATTAGTTTTATATATGCCTGTTATTGTCTGAATTTGTAAACCTCTTTATATTCAATTTAAGTTCCACTCAATTCAAGCATTATCAACAGAATCACAAACACTGTGCCTACCCTCCAGTGATGCCGAGATCCGTCCACACTTGTTCCAGACACACATCAGGCGTCAGGGGCTCCCCCGCCTCGGCACAGGTGTCATTCCAGAGAGTGGTGTTGTGAGTCACTGGGGTACGAGACAGACACGCTGGGGACCGCACTCCAGGAGATGGAGTCTGGAACCTATAGAGACTGTTTGATGCCACGGATGGGGACTGCATTTGACTGAAATGGGACAAAAAAAAAAAAAAAAAAAAAAAAAACCTGTTTTGATATAATGAATTCTCAACAGAGGGCAGTTGTCTGAAACAATAAAAGAATATCTAAGAAAACCCAATCAAATGTTTATAATAAATGCTTACTTGAGTGATGCTGATTGTGTGAGAGATGGACTACTGATAGAGCGCGAAGCAGGAGAGTTGACTCGGCTGGGGTGACTTCTGAATGGTGACATGCTTGAAGATGGTGACAGGCTGGAGAAGGTCACTCTGGACAGGGAACTACTGCTGGAATGACTATGTCCTGGCAGTGGTGTTGTGGCAGCAGACTGGACAGGAAGGCTGCCCATCAAGTCCATCCCAGAGGCTGAAAACCCTTCCTGGGTAATATAATAATAATAATAATAATAATAATAATAATAATAATCTTTATTGGAGAATCGCAACCCGAAGGTTGAAGTTATACAATTATGTTATACAATTATATATGAATATTCAAGTCAAGGAAGCCTGGTCATTTTTTCATATGAAAATAAGGGAACAAATAACCCCATTTACTTTTCTAAATTATGTCAAAGACAAGTAAAATTTGATGATCTGGATGAATCACAGATGATAGAAAGACTTTATTCAAAAGTTCTAAGTCTTGGAAATAACCCTTGGCTTAAACTAATTCAGTGCCATACAAATAAATCATAAAATGGTCTTGATCTAGCTGTACCTCTAACTTTGCCCTTCTTATCTTCCATATAGAGTGCACCCCATGTACTGTGTCATACAGCACAGCAAGTGAGGGGTCCTCACTGGTGAACACTATCTGATGGCTGTGGCTGGTCACAAACTGGACCTTTGATGCATTCATACCACCTAGGAAAATACATAATTTTTAGGATGATGAGTCTTATTGAATATTTGATATATTTTTTTTTTATCCCTAAGGCCATAATATTTAATACAAGCAACAATTTGTTACATTGTTAAAATTGTTTAATTTATATACAGGAATTTAAAACTGTAGTTGTTACAGTACAAATATTTTTTTCTTTTTGGCAAATATAATTTAAAAAATGTATAACCACCCTTTAGCTTTTCTTTACAAACACAACATATTCATAAGCACCAGTGAATTGAAAACAAAAACAACTCTTGTTGCATAAAGGGGAAATGTGTCTCCTTCAATTTTTTGCATAAATTAATCCCAACGAAACAATATTATAGATCAAATATGGCAATGAAAACATATCCCTACTCAATAAAAAATATGACATATATTTGTCTGAGCTACATTCTCTATGTCTCACCTGCAGACTTGCTAATGACAGGTGCCAGCTCATCCAGGGGGTGGAGCATAGTGAAGAGGACAGGGAGCGGGCTCACCCTAGACCATACAAACAGAACAATATATCTGTACTTCAACATATGAAAATATCCCAGAGAATCAAACTAAGTGAATTTTTTTTACAAAACTTGTAGATAACAAGGCTAGTATCAATTTAGGATACATTATTCAAAAGCAAATGTTTAAGATCATTTATATACAAAAATAAACATATATGACAACTGCAAGACTATTCAAACAGATAAAAAATATCAGTCCCAATGATATTTATAAAAATTATTGTTCATATATATTACCTTTTAGAATTTGCCATCTCTCTGTGTGTCACAGTTCTCTCAAACATCAATCCATTCTTTATAACCCAGGCTCCAGATACCTATCACAAACATCAATATATAGAAACTAGACATCAGTTGTGATGAGCACACCAGAGCAGTAATAGATTGTCACATCTATCCCAGCCCAATTTCCTGACTGACTTAGGGAAATTATTAACTGGTAAAGTATCAGTTTAATTTTCAAGCTATAGATAAAAAATTCTGTTCATACCCGAGTTTCATGGATGAAAGTTGTAAAAACTGAAAATCCTGAAAACATAGCTTGCATTTCCTCATTGCATGAAGACCATATAAAAAATATGATCAAAGAGAAGACTGAAAATCCTGAAATCAGGCATAATCCTGCAAACTTTCATCCATGGGGTTTGTTCATTATCAATTAATATCCATGCTATACGTATAACAAGACATTTTACCTGGAATGGCAATGTGGAAATGTAATCTTTTCCCTCATCAGTGAATACATTCACACACCCAGACTCCACAATACATATCCCATGTTCTTTGTGACCTAGTGGCAAAATAAAAACATCACAAAATAATTTCTGTTCCAGCAAAATTGCAATTAAAAACAAACTGCATTTTCATTGTAACTCTCACAAAAACCTTCAGAACATGAGTACTGAAAAGAAAAGATTTGTCAGTGCAAATTATAATTTTAATTAAAAAAAAAGTTTAATTTATATGACACGGTTCTTCATTTAGAAAATGCATATATTGCACATGTTAAGAAGCTATAAGTACTTTAAAATGAACTAAATGTTTTGAGTAACATTTGAAATACAAACCTATCATATCTAAGGTATTACTTTTCTGTTCCACATCACTCAAGCTGTCCGGTAAAGTAAATGTGCACCACAAGGCCTGAAAATAAATATACAGACAAATAAATAAAATAAGTAAAGTAGTTCAAACCATTTCTAAATATTTGCATATAACATATATTCAAATGAAAAAATCAGCATTTTTCCAGTTTCAAGAATCCTCCTGTATAAGTAATTTGCCATCTTTTATCAAAAAAATTTTTCAAAATACATCTTTCCTTATAGTTTGAAGCTTAAACTTAGTCAACTAAAAGTTAAAACTCCTAAACCAAAACTAAAGGGTATCATTTACCTGCTGTACTGCTGAGTCGACAGTGACAGTTTTAATAACCTTTCTGCTTTCCTCATTCCCTCCCCTGCTCCACACGACAGTGGTTTCCTTGACGTAGAGTTCCTCAATACAATTGTTTGTCACATTTTTCCTCTTGTGCCAGTGCTCCTTCTACAACAAGGAAAAATCAAAAATACATGTCAAAAGATAAAGACCAACATCTTTTCATGTTAAGATCTGCTTCCTCTGCAGCACTACATTTGTGTCAAAACTGAACAGGGCCGAGAATGTAATTATTTTTCAGTTATAGTACAATACATGTAAAAAAAAGCTTCATACCGAGCATTTTGATAAAACTTTGCACAGACTTATTTCTGGATAAGTGTGTAATCACATACATATAAATACCACACATGCTTACTTTTGAGTTTTCATGTAAGGAAATATCCTTTATTGCTTTCACTAGCGGTATTCCATGTTCCAGTGTTGATGACTTCTTAATCTGCAGCTGTACTTTCCCTGGATGAGCTGCCACATGCCCCCTCCCATATGGTTCAAATTCTTGGGCTTGGTAGGCACCAATCATATCCTGGAGATCCAGTGTGCTTAGTTTGAAAGTACCATTAAACACCTAGAAACAAATTAAAATACATGTATAAATAAAATCAAATAGACAGCTTTTTAAAATCAAAAGATAAACAAGCCTTTGATATCTACTAGTACATGTACTCCCCCTTGCCTCAGTTTTTGGCCTTACAAGCTCACGGTACCCTTACCGCTGGTAAGGCCTCATAGCAGTATGTTCAAAAACCTTGAGACACTTAAGTACCTCGAAATGTCCACGTTCTGACAATCTCTGTGGGTCCTCCGTTGTACCTTGTAGTATGTAAATCCAATTAAATTCGACAGAAGCGCAAATGGATGGCCAAATGCTTATAAAACATTATAACTGGAGCTAGGTCGCCTACATGGATCAAACACCATTTTTCACAACTTGTCGCCCGAGGGCGCTATAAAAGTTTACATTGGAAACACGAAACAGGTCAACTCCATTTCGAGGTCGACCTTGAAAAGGTGGTCATCCTTTCCGCAAGTGTACCACAATATGGCATGCTGTTGTGTCAGTGCAGTAGGAAGCTGAAATAAAATGACCAAAACTTTATAAACATCGTGCCTGAAGGTACACCAAAACACTTTTAATTGGATTTACATACTACAAGGTACAACGGAGGACCCACAGAGATTGTCAGAACGTGGACATTTCGAGGTACTTAAGTGTCTCAAGGTTTTTGTACATACTGCTATGAGGCCTTACCAGCGGTAAGGGTACCGTGAGCTTGTAAGGCCGAAAACTGAGGCANCCCCCCCCCCCCCCCCCCCAAAAAAAAAAAAAATGGTTTTCAGTTTTCACTTTGATCAGTGTCTCTGCTCTTTAAACATTTTTTTTTTAAATTTTGGCGTTTTAATGTATTACATGAAACTTCCATCTCGTTCAAACATAATAAGGTCGTTTTGGGGGTGAACATCGGAAAAGTGCAATTTAACAAGGGATATCATCTGTCCCTATCTAAGGGCTTCGGTTAACGCGGTCATGGTGGAACGGTGGCGTGCTTCCTAGATATACAGTTAATGTGCAAGTAACAGGCGCCAATTACCTATATGATGCTGTGTGGATTCTTTAAGCAGTAGTGTTAGAAGATTCAGCATCTGCTTGTTAACGCTGAAAGTGCTGTACTTACTTCATTTGGTGAACGACAAATACAAGGCAAAATTCAATCCTTCGCGCCGCACCACGGACTGAAGACCAATTACCTTCTTTATAAAAATATATAGGTATAATAAAGCAAAATATTTATTAAGATAATTATATTAATTATTTCATAACAATTCAAAAGAAAATATGTACATTGAAATAGAGTGGAAATTCAAGCACCTGTTCCAAATGGTATTTGCTCCGTATCTATGCTTGACCCAAATTAATAATCACAACACAGCAAGGCACAACGTAGTCAGGGTCCAGGGTAGGCTTAGTCTGTCCCCAGGACAAAGAGCGATGTCGTTGTTGACGAAGGCCGGTGGTGTTGTTTCCCTTTCAATTTTTGTGGCATTAGTAGCGTATCTGCACCGAAGCTACAATGATAAAATCCTCAACGATCGCTTAGACTCTGTGTTGAGAGGATTGCTTCGCGCAGAGAAAAAAGTTAGCTTTGAAACACGGACTAGAGTTGCAGTTGGATTTGGCGCCTGTGTGGACGGATTTGTTAACGCAACTGATATTTTCCATAACTTAGGTTTCATTCCACCAGATATACCTGAGCATTACAGTGTGATAAGGGACCAAGATGAGCTAGGGAAAGTATTTTCGTACTTTTTTAGACACGGAGCTGCTGGAGAGTAAGTAACCATAAAAGGACGGAGCACATTGATTGTTTACAAAATAAATAGAGCTGCCCAAAATACAGTTTATCAAGTTACCATCGTATGCAGACATATTATTGAATTGGTTTTATCATATAGTTGTACTTTTCATATTTCACATTTGCAAGGGCATGTTAGTCTTAATTATTTTTTTGACAAACTTCTACATCAATATATGCCATATGGGGTTTTAAAAAGAAAGTACTGTGTACAACTGTATCTTTTATTGTTCTTTGTCAAATATAAACATCTTCTTAAGCTTGTATGATTCTAAATTTATTTAAGTAAGATGAAATATATCCATTACCTTATTCTTTTTTTTTTTTTTTTACTCCAGGAGATATATTGAAAACAGGACTCTATTTGAATCCATTGTAAATGAGGCAAGGCGGCATTCCTTCACTAGGTGGGCAGTTGGTGGAAATGCTCCCGTGATGGCCCAGAGGTTTGCTAAAGAGGGATGTGAAGTGATGCTTGGAGCCAAAGTTTCTCCCCATCTTGCTGGCCTATTGGGATCAAATATTAAAAGTCAGTTCTCAGCAAACAGACCTCAAGTGCAATTTAGTGTGTGTGTGTGTGTGTGTGTGTGTGTGTTTTCAGAATATCTGCTTTATAATTTTTGTTTTTATCTACAGTTGTAGCATAAGTTTGATGTGTAATTTTTTCATCATTATACATACTTAACAGTTTTTTTTTATATAATCAGGTCCATGCTTGCAGGATGGATCCTTTTTCGAATGAAATAGAATTGGCATGCTATTTTTTTGCTTTTTAGTTGCTGGAGATACAATAGACGATGAGGACATCCACATAGCCTTAGAATATGCTACAGGGACATCTTGGGGTAACTTCAAATCTCCTAGGGCAAACAGGTGTGTTGAAAAATTCATATAAAACAAATGGAAGGCATTTAATTTTTCAAATATTTTCTCCCCACAAAGTTTATATTTCTTGTGTAATTAAATATGTCCTCATATTTACAGAGATTTGTCATATGATGATAATGCATGGAATATGAATTTTGCATTTAAGGCAGCAATAATAAATTTTTACCTTTTTATTTTTTTCTTTAGATTTTTTATTCACAGTGACCAGTTTAATCCATACATTGACTCCCTTGAACTGTTCAGTCAAGCTGCAGCTTCTTTCTCTCCCCAACTACTTGTTGTGGGAGGTCTACAGATGATGGATAGTTTTCCTTTCAAGCCAGGTAGATGAATTCTAGACAAGGGGTTGGAAGCTTGCACAAAACAGCATTTGCATGACAATTAACAAAACTATTTAAGAATTAACACCTACATGGCTTTTGGATGAGGGGAGTGATTTCAATTTTGTGGCAATTTTTATTAAATTTATAAAATAAGATGGCATATTCACTCCTATCACTATATTACATGGGTTAAATAAAAATTTATTTCGCATATCTGATCTACACATTTAGTAGAGCACTTCACAGATTTTAAGGGTGTCCTAACAGCAACAGATGCGATGCAAGGGATATTTACTGTGGTAGATGTAAAATAAATTTTGGTTTTTATATCAAAGTTTTCCAAGGATATGAGACACATCTTTTTCTTTCAGGTGTCCGCAAAGAACGCCTACAAAAGCTTGGAGAAGTTTTAGCTTCGACTTCTAAGAATACCATGATTCATTTTGAAATGGCCTCATTCAGTGAAGAAGCACTTTTGCAAGATTTGGTAGAGCATGTTATCCCATACTCAGACTCACTGGGGATGAATGAGCAGGAACTGCCCAATTTATACAGTGCTTTAATGAATGGTACTGCAACATTAATATCAGATGCCTATCCCAGGATTGCTCATGTGCTTGATCAGATGAGAGCAGTGTATAAAATTCTCAGTCAAACATCAGAAAAAAATAATAGGAGAAAACTGACAAGACTCCATGTTCACACCTTGGCTTACCAAGCAATTATAACCACCTCTGGCTCGCCATGGAAGAACACCATGTCTGCTGCTGCTAAAGCCTCGTTAACAGCAAATCGCCATGTCTGCGGGTCCAACTTCATTCATTTGGAAAAAGCAAGGTTAATTATTGATGAATCTTTTGCTGCTAGTCAGGCACATGGAAGCAGAAGGATTTCATTTGAGAATAATCGACCAGTGTCATGTTGGAAAGAGGGCAACTACGAGTTTTGTGTTGCTCCGGTTCTTGTCTGCACCCAAGTGTTTCAAACTGCTGGAGGTGGGGATAATGTTTCTTCAGCAGGGCTTGCAGTGCAGATTTAGAGGGAAAAGTCCAAAGTCAGTTCAAAATATATAGGGTGGATTGAAAAATTACTACTTTAAACCACTGAAGAATTCTCCTTTATAATTCTATGAAATTTCACTTCGTACTAAATCAGTGTTGCCTCTGGTGCTTAAAAACTTTCACTCAAAAGCCTTAGTAACATCTGTGTAGTAATCGAAAATAATAGTTGATAAGTGCAATGTTGGAAAGAATCATTGAGAGGTTTCACCTTCGATTTCTTAAAATATCTGATTAATTGATCTCTTTCACACTAGCATAATGCTTTTACACATCTTCTATTTGTCTTGGCTTCTACCAGGTAGACTTTTGATTACAAACTGTTTTGCTAATCTCTTTTACATTCTTTTATGAAGTCGGACACCATTTGGTGAAATTCATATTATGTGGTCTTGATAGTAGTTAATGTTGATCCATCCTATTGAAGATGGAGGGAATTAAGCATTATTAAAAATGCTAAACCATCACCAGGGAGACTTCAAACTGCTAGATACTGGCAGTGCTTATTATTTGGACTATCATTTTAGTATTCAGTGTCATTTGGATATTTCAGTATCATCTCCAAGAGGTAATACCAAGTAAGGTACTGGGTGTAAATTTTGTTGTACTATAGAGAATTATTTTTGAGAAGTTGAAATTTAAAGGGGAATGTATTTTATCTACACAACACACATCTTGTGTGCAAAAAAGCACAAAAAAAGCAATATTTTTTAAATGGTCCAAACTAAGGGTTTGTTAATCATTTACTGATACAATTCAGGGTCATAATGTTGTCTGTTGATTGGAAAGATTTTTTTCTTGACTGTTATATGTAGGTAAAATGATTTTGACATTTAGACATCAGTCAAATTTAAGTCTATTTTTGTACCTTTTATCCATACAGTTGGATAGGGTTAAGTGCTTTCAACTCATTTCATAATTATGTAATACACACTTAGCAATATTTTTATAGGATGAAATGCACAATCAGTTACTTTTTAAATAAGAACCCACTGTTAGCCATATTGTATCGTTGTCCCAGCAATACTATTTTAAAGTCCCATTTAATTTTTTGTGAATGTCATTAAGTTTTTTGTGAATGTTTGTATCTCAACATGTATGTTTCAAAGGTGTAAAGACAGTGAACCATTTCATTACCAGAACCTGGTAATTTTGGATGTTTATTGCACTCCAAAGATTTCATTGCATGATTGAGCAATATTTTTGTGAAACAAAAATACCAGTAACATCTGTGATTCAAATTTTAC